AGTAGAACTTACAATTCATCAATTGAATACGAAAGTAATGAGGGTGGTTTGTTACAATATGTGTGGCATGGCAGGTCTTAACTGTGAAGGTTAGGATTGGTGGAACTAAGGGCTTGCTAAGGTATGTAGTTTATCTGAACACTTTCCATGGAAATAGCCATAGATCAGCAAGACATTTGCAATGTTTCCTCTATGGGAAATGGTGAAAAATAATTCATTACCCACAAGGGCGTGGAGACATTTTTGAACTTTATCGATATTGGAAAGTGAAGACTAGGTAACTACTGTCTATATATGTCAGCTGTACTCCATTTTCAGCCTGTGCTGGCTCTTGTAAAAAGTAGAGGATAACAGGAGGAGTCTGATGCTTATTGGAGTGGTACAGGGAACAAACCATTTTTTCAGTATAAAGCTATGGGTCATATGTATGAGTTCCACTTGAGGTTTGGGTTTAATTTAAGTTTCAATAGGTGCTCAAGGCACAGGTTCTCCCTGAGAGAACACCTGTTCATCATGATAGGTGAAAATTCAGGTTTCGCTCAGTGATGGTGGAACATCACTAGTTTTGCTTTTGAGGCATGGAATATGATTAGCCAAAAAGATTAAAGATTAAAAAAATTCTACTCTTTGATTATACATGTGTAATTATTAAAAAAAAATAACTGAAAGTAAATAACTTATTTATTTATATTCCATATATATTTTCACACATGCATATAATTTGAACATAGCAGTTTTAGTTACTTAATATTTTTAATGACAATATGCCAGTTTAATCTGAAATATATTTTCCCATTAGAAAAGGAAACATTTTAAATAAAAAAAGTAAAAAGTGCTATAGATTACCTCAAATATCTTGTAACTAAATTTAGAATTTCAGTTAAGACTATAAAAATTTAAAAGAATGCGTAGTGTGGCAATAGCTTCTTCCAAACTGTTGTTAAAATATAAAAAATAAATTTGCTATTTGCAAAATACAGACAGAGCTTTGGGTTAAGTTCAAGATGGCAGTTTATTTGGCTTCTTCATAAAATGATAACTCCAAAACTCTTCCTTTGTTTCTGAAATTACTTCCAATATAATACATTCAGAACAGTTTTAACAGATTTTTAATAGTAATATGTCAGCTATTTTTTTTAATATGTCCCTTATTCTGAAATATAATTTTACATTTAAACGGTTAAAGTTTCTTTAAAAATAATTAAGGAATTGAAAATTTGAAAGTACTATATTTAATAATTATTTAGTGTGGTGATAGTTTCTTCAGTACTACGATTAAAATATAAAATAATAAATTTGCAAAATACCACATAAAAAAATGTTTTTCTGTATAGCCTACATGAAAAGGCTGTTGAAAATATCAATGTCCACCCACTTCCTGATATAATTTGTCAATGTAACTAAAAATAAGTACTGTTATTAAGTATAAAAGAATTTGAGATGTAAACTGTCCAACCATTAAGCAGAAAGTGTGCTTATTATGTTTCTTTTTAGAAATAAAAAAATAAACAGTCATTTATTCTGAAATGTTTTTACTTGTGCTTTCATACATATACTTTCCATGTTGTTTGTTCCTCATGACAAAATTTTACCTAATAATGAAAAAATGCCTTTAATTTACACAACAGATACTTAGTTTTGAACTTGATCTTCTCCCTTGTTAATACACTTAATTTAGGGATGAATATATAGATACATCAATAACTCTGCAGCCTAAAAAAACAAAAAATTATTTTAGAAAAAAACAAATATTTATTTTTCAACATAATCTCCTCCCTTGTGGATATCTCCAATGCTTCTCAATTGATCATTTAGATAAAAAATGATGTGGTGAATATCTCAGATAAAAATTCAACTCATAACTGTTTTAGCCTATGGACTTATCAGTCTATTGTGCTAAGAAATACTGAAGGGTTAAAAAAATATTTTTAAACATGTGTAACAATACATTTCCTATAAACAGGTGAAGATGTTATTGGTAGTTATATAAAGAACTAAAGTATCCTTTCTAGGTTATTTATTTTGTGTGGATATTGCAGAAATGGAAATGTATGTTTACTTCTAAGTTAAACTAAACCCAACATGTTGCATAGGAATAGAAAGCGTTTTTCTCCTTTTTTTGTTTGTTGGAACCAAACATTTTATGTTTATTATACTGATTTGAAAAATATAAGTTAGAATTAATTTTCCGTGTTTATACATTCTAGCTACTGTAAACCTCTTTTAATTTGGTATTTATACAAAAACTATTTTCATCAAGCAGAGCTTGATCTTAATAACCTGCTGATAAACTGTGTGTAATCATGTGTCTATTTTACATTAGTTGTTCTTGTTCCTCTGTTTCATTTCTCATTAAAAACACTATTACTGTCATTTTTTATTTCACTCTCCATTAATCAGTGTAATGTCAGATTTTTATCTTGTTATCTGACACCATGATTTTTATTTTCATTTTAAAGAGGAAAAAAGTCCTATGGGGGATTGTGGAGAAATTCTTTAGTCTTTTCTTTTTGCTACAATGTTGTATCATCACAGTTCAGTTCAACAATTCGCACATAGGCTGTTCGCAGTTATTTCCCTTGGTCTGTAGACATTTACAATAATTAAATTCGTCTCTTTTTTTTTTTTTCCTTTTTAAGGACATTTTATGTGATAATTAATATTTATTAATGTCCCTTATATATTATCTTTTCTTATAGTCTCTTATTTTTATTAACAATTTTCAGCAAATGACATCTTAAAATGTTTTAAGATTGATTAACTGATTTATTTTTAAAGTTTATCAACCTTTTGCAGGTTATTTAAAGCCAGAAAATAGAAAAAATTAGAAGAATGTTGTATCTATAAAGAGATAGAAATATATAAATATTAACATTTTGTAGAACAAAGTTTCATTTTAAAGTTATATTGATGGATTTGTTTTTTACAGCTTATCAACCCTTTGCAGGTTATTTAAAGTCGGAAAATATTTTTAAATTGTAATAATTTTTTTTGAGATAATAAAGATTTACTGATACAAGTTTTACTATTTAACCCATAGCTGGGAGGAGAAGAGGTGAATTCATACCTTTCTCAAGTGTATTTGTGAGTAAGTGAATATAACGAACCTGATTGAAATAGGAACTCAGTTCTCCAATTTCCTATTCTGAACTATTATACATTATACCACCTGCATATTCAAGAGTAAAGCAAGTAGTCACCCATCTTAAATACTGACCAGGCTCGATGTTGCTTAAATTCAATGATTGTACGAGAGCTGGTATTTCAACATGATACCATAGGTTGACAGTGAAATTGTATAAATAGAACTATTTGAAAGCCATCAATAGCTGTGCTAGCACAAAGTCACAAGTCAATGTGATTGAGGGTTTGAGTGTACTGGACTTGTTCAAGACTGGAGATAATGCTAGATTATGCACTCCCTCCCAGATGGTGTAAGTAAAGTCTGCTCCTCATAGTTACAGTATAAACCACAGGTAGGCTTTGTGGGTGTTGAATAAACATGAATGTACCTGAGCAGGTGTCAACAAGTGTGATTGGCTAGCTTCCCTAGCATATGGGTGCCTCAGAAAGAAGTACTCAGCCATTTTATATATATATATATATATATATATAAATGGGAGAGAAAAATTTACTTTTCATTCAGCACCTGATGATTGTATTGTGTATGTAACTCGAAGTTGTGCTGTTAGTGAGGAACTAAATGTATAGTTATTATTAGTATAAATTTTAGTTCTGTTATTGTTGAACCCACTGAAACAAGATAGAACAGTTTATTTATTCATTTTTATTTTTGTGTATCAACTGAGGAGGGGGCCTCTGAAAAGTCCTCATCCTAACACACTGACAAAAAATCTGATCAAACATCAGATTTTTCAAAGTTTCTTGGTTATATATAGAAGAACTTTTCACACACCACTCATACAAAAAAAACATTTTCCCAAAAATTTTCCTTATATTACATATATATATATATATATATATATATATATATATATATATATATATATATATATATATATATTTATTTATGTGTATATATATATAAAAGATATCAGCCAAATCAAATGAGGAGAAAATGAAAAATATTCATTTGACTTTAGTAGATTAATATGAGATGGTGAGCAGAGAATTGTTCTCACATGGAAATGCTTTTATTTGACATTTTAGGATCAAAGGCAAAACAGAAGACATTAAAACAAGATATATCAGAACAGATAAAAACAGGATTTGATGCACTAAAAATGATTGTAATTAAAGTAATATATAAAAAAAAAATCTTTTTGAAGTTAATGGTACATCTGCACTAACATAACTCCCATTGCAGTGTAAACACACACACACACACACACACACACACACACACACACACACACACACAGAGTTATAAAAGAGATTTTTGGGTGGTTGATTCATTTTCTATGACTTATCAATCCTTTAAAGCCAGAAAATATTTTTAGATTGTAAGAATTTTTTCTTTGGAGATAACAATGGTTTAGTGATACAAGCCTTACTAATTAACCTATAGCTGGAGGGGTGGCAATTCATACCTAATTAGAATTTGATAAACAAGAAATTATAATGTGGATATATGGGGGATCAATTTCATATTACAATCAATCTACAAACCGATCCCTCACTTTATGGCCACGGCGGTTTCTATACATTTATATACCAGAGAATGTAAATAACTATATAACACATGTCTGTATAGATAATCAGTATTTGATTAATTCATTCATTTTCTATGGCTTATCAACCCTTTGCAGGTTATTTAAAGACAGAAAATATTTTTAGATTGTAAGATTTTTTTTTTCAGATAATAATCATTCAGTGATACAAGTCTTACTAGTTAACCCATACCTGGGTGGAGAAGAAGTAGATTCTTACCTTTCCCAAGGATATTTGCACATCATTGAATATAAAAAATCCAATGGGAACTGGAACTAGGCTCTCCAGTTAACAACTTCTTTACTCATTACACCACCTGCACATCCAAGCTTACAGCATCTGGTATTCTTAAGTGGTTACCCATCTAGGTACTTACCGGTCTCAATGTTGCTTAACTTCAGTGATCGTATGAGAACTGGTTTTTCAGTGTGATGTAGCCATAAGCCTATAAAAGAAAGAAGAATATATTGCGTCATATATTTATTTTACTCTTTATCCATTTTAATTTCAAACAATAAACTATGGTGTATACAAAACTGTGTTCAAAGGTTAGTGAAGCCATTGGTTATCTTTATTTTTTTTCGCTGTTTTTTCACCCAATACCAGGCCCAAGGGCCACTCCAGGTAGACAGTTACTGAGTGAGATTGCTGTCAGGAAGAAAGAAGTAAAAAATACATATTATGTCAGATCTGAGACATATCTATGTTGCTTGCTTTTTCCATTTTTTTTTTATTCTCAGTCTATGATCAGATTTGCCGACGTGTTTGGCCCATATGCCTCTGATAAGCATTGAAATGTATTTTCTGCTGATTCTTTGAATATTTTTAGATCATAAGGCAAGGCATCTTAATGTTACACTGCAAATTAAGATTGCAGAACTAGATATTCCCCAATGTTTTGATGCAGCCTTATGGCATCATGCAAAATAAGGCTAGTTTTTATATTTCACTAAAAAAAAAAAAAAAAAACCTTTATCTGATAGGCAATGCTGCACATACAATTTTAACATGTTTTCCTTCGTATCACTAACCCAAAATATAAAACATTCCTTTGTAGCTCAGTACCAATGGTGTATGTGACTGGAGTGTTTATGAAAGCATAAAATGATTTGAGTTATTTAACAGCATATCAACTTCTTATGGGTCATTTCATGGTGAAATTTAATTTTCTTGGAAGCTTTGAAGTACAGACAAACTTCTTATCAATGGACTAATAGGGGGGAAGAGTGGTCTGTTAAAACAGATTGTCCATAGATAGGAAGGGATAATTTTTGAGTTATAAAGCCACTATAGTAGTTATGATTATGATGTAAAAACTATAAACATGTATATATGGCATAAATAAATTTTTTTTCCTGCAGTTTTTTTTTTTTTTTATTTTGCCTGCAGATTTTGTCTGTTGCATCCAATATCCATTGATATGGGGGTCCATAGATGAGAGGTTTGTCTGTAATAAAAATACAGTATGTTATTCTGCTTTCACAATTGAATACATGGTAGATGATACTCAGCTTTTGTGTATATGCTTGTTTGTGTGGACATAATTGTTTTGCTTTCGTTTGATTGTTTTTGTTTAGTGATATATCGACACCTCTATGGCTTATTTAATGCCGAAATGTAAATATGAAAATTCAAACTTTATAATTAATTCAAGAGAATGACATTATTTCATTATTAAATTTTAATTACTTAGCTGCATTTTTTTTTAACTAAACAATCTTAGAAAATCAAACAAGAAAGAACTTGTCTCCTCTTACAAGTAATGAGATTAATCATAGCAAATTGCTTTTTTTGTTTATGTTTTCAATTTTACTATGAAAATGTATTGGTCATATTTTTTTTAATGTATTGCTGGTCATTGAGAATTTTTTTTTGAGATAAAAATTTTTGCCAAAGTATCCATTATACAATTTGAAACCAAACAACTCTCTATAAAATCAGCAAAAATTAGAGTGATTATATACTTGCTTAAAATCCACCCTATTGGGCAGCATTTAAGCTAGCCCTTATGGAGTTCTCTGGATTGGGTCTTAATCACAATAGATAGGAAGAAGGAGATGCACTAGGCAACAATAAACTACAGAAGAACTCAAAATTGATTGCTGCAATTAAGTAATGCATTAATATTTAAGCTTATCTTTTAACAGTTGAACAATAATTCTTCTGCTGCCACTTAATTTAAAGACAGTTTGAAGTACGTAGGTCCTTACTTTCCATACAAACAATTATTTTTATTTCATGGGAGACTTTCACTGGATTTCACAATCCATTTTGATTATTCTCAAATTTATTTCCAAGTTATAAAAACTGTTATAGTACAAAAAAATTTGTTGCAAAAAAATCATGTACAAAAATTGCCAAAAATAATTGCAGTAATGAAAACTTGGGAATCCAAAATTCTGGCCCGGAATATTTTAAATTTACCCATGGAGTCGGCCTGATTCCAAAATAGTGTAACATGTTAGGCTACGGCCTATCGGAGTAAAGTTGAAAAAATGTGACACACTGACATTGACATTTATTATATTGAAGAAGATGAGCTATTGAAAGAGAGTTGTGTCCCTTTAATTGAAAAAGTGTGACACTGACATTCACATTTATTATATACATTATAAAATATTTATTGAAAAAAAAGTTCATAATAATTGATATAATGTAATAAAATAATTGATTAATTTGTTTTTTATGGTTTATCAACACCTTGCAGGTTATTTAAAGCCAGAGAATATTTTTTGAGGTTTCTGGCTTTAAATAACCTGCAAAGGTTGATAAACCATAAAAAATGAATTAATCAATTATTTTATTACATTATATCAATTATTATGAACTTTTTTTTTCAATAAATAATATATAATAATAGCGACATATTTTATGTCACTCTTTCTTATTTTTACTGAATGTTTTTCAGTTAACATGAGACTGTTGACATATTTTCATTCAGATATCTTCTTTGTTTCTGACACTTTTCAGCAACTGTATCATCATGCTCATCAAATATTAATTTTCTGTTCTAACAGTAGAAGGAGTGTTTATATTTTTGGCAGGTGCATTGAGTTTTGAAGGTTATCTTAAAGAACTCTAGAAGCTTTGCATAAAACCCAAGTCTAAATTCTTTATTATTCATTATGGTCATCCATTTATATTTGATGCCAGAATTGATTTTAATCTTATTAGTGATAATGTTCTTATTAGTGATAATGTTCTGTTGTATCATATGTAGACCAAAGTTAATTACAGTTCACTAATGGCTATATTGGCAGTTTGTCAATTTTCAATTCTTGATAATGGAGATTTTCCATCATTACTATTTAATTTTAGAGCAGGCGTTTGCTGTTGCCTTTTAACGTTTTGCCTATCTATATGGAGGGTTGGAAATACATGCCTTTTCCAAAGTTAGTTATATGAATCGATATTTGTAAGTAGCCTTCAAGACTGAACTCTTGCAATATTGCTATCTACCATTATCACCACAAAGACATGTATCTATACAAATAGACCAAATATTTTATTTAACAATCTTTATAAATGATCATAAATTCAATGTAATTTATAGAAATTAACCAGCATATAGTGAGTCATACTTAAAATGACTGTAATTATATCTTTACAGTTTAAATTTATATGGGAGCCTGTAAAGACAATATTAGCTGTTTCCCTACACTGAAACATTTGGCATTCATTGACCAAACAACCAGTACTGCTTTTGGTTGAAAGTTATAAAATCTTTTTCTTGAAACAATTATTCAGGAAAATAGGTTTTCAAGTTCATTAGCTGTTCTCGTGCTTTCCAGCATTGATGGGGGTTTCTTTCCTTAGCTTTTATTTGAAGTAGCATGGAATGTCAATATCTTATGTCATTACTTTCTCTTTGAGTTACATGTGAGAACCATTTTAGTTGTTACTGCTGTTGGTGGCCCTCAAGTGATATGATTTCTGCTATTTGGTACAATTCATTGTGAATCTGCAGTGCCAGTCCACGATGTTGAAAGAAGAATGATTCTTGCAATGACTCTTTCCTTTGCTCAAAGCCTTTTTACACCATTGATCTTATAAAGCAGTTGCAAATATCTGAAAGTTTATATATTTCTGAACATGTTTTGTGACAGCCATATGAAAGTCTCAATCTAGTGAATATGACTTGAGTTTTCAGGTTGATGTTTTGGTTTTGTAGAAATGTGCGGTGTTGGGAGAAACTAACACTGGTGGAGCCTGTTCTATCTTCGATTTCTTTTTCTCCTATACTAAATTTGTTGTGTAAAGTTAATTTTAAATCACTCTTTTTCAGATTTGTAAAAGGCCAACAAATTGTTGGATAGTGTTTTTTATGACAAGACATATATCTTTATAATCACTAAAAAATACAATATTTTTGCACTATACTATAATGCATAGATTTTAAACAACAGAACTGGTAAACAGTGTTAAATTGAAAAATAAAAATAAGAAACTAATCCAATTTGCATAAACAAATGCATTCATTTGCATACAAATGTAATGATAACATTACCCTGATGAAACCTAACACAGTGAAAAGATTTGATATCTGTTATCCATTGGTGAAAAGACTCCAGAAAATAGCACATCTGTTGGTCTGGGTTTGTTTTCTGCCATTGCATTGACTATATTCTTTGCTTTCCGTTATTCAGAAAATATTTATTGTGAAATAATCAATATTAAGGAATGTTTATCTGTTGTTGGCTTTGCATGAGAAAGAGATACTATGATACTCATTATCAAATTTGAACAGCACTTTATTAAAGAATCTCCTCCTCTTTCCAGTCTCTTCTTGAGTTTGAATTTGTCACAAACTTGCTTTATTTGTTATTTTTAATTACTATTAATTCTAAATGTACAATTACCTTCTGAGATCATTCACATGTTTCAATCACTAGTTTTCATGCTATCTGAAGTTGGAGCACTTTTTAAAAAGTATAACAGTACAAGCAAAAGTGTTTTATTTTTCTGATATTAAATAGTATAAATTAATTATTCACTCAATTGTCACCTGACTGTTCTGGCCTGTTTTAGGAAAAGTTGGAAATAAATGACTATAAAGTGCTAATGGCAGTTGTTTATGGGTGCCACCATTTTCTGTCTTAATCTGTACTGCAGTGTATCCTATTAAGTTAAATGACATCCTCTTGTTCCCAGATCCACTCTGATCCGGGGTGGTAGCACCTGTTAGGATCACAGCTATGAGCAAATAGTAAACTCCTAAACTAAACACTATGAAAGTATAAAAGTACATTTTTCATAGTAAAAATAGCAGCAATATATTTTTTATATAAAAAAGGACCAACAATACATATTTATAGTAAAATGACAAACAATACATTTTATCTGTAGTTGAAGGTATACAATTGCATTCAAAATATATTGAAGTCATAAAATTGTGTTCAGAATATTTAGATTTTGGCATTAAATAACCCATAGAAGTGT